TTAAGTACCGTTAGGTTGCGAGGCAGCGCACAGGGGTGCGAGCGATTTTCAAAGCGTAATTTCTCCACAACCAGAAGGGTGCGAGCGCCAACTGATACTTCTCAGGAAAGCTCTCGATGAGATATTTCCAAAACCGCCCTTTCCGACAGTGGTAACCTCCTGCTTGTGGAGAAACTACGCTTTGAAAATCGTTCGCATCCCTGTGCGCTAACTCGCAGCCTTACGGTAGTCGAGCTTTGAAAACCACGCAAGGGGGTATGGTATCTTGGGTCATCCACATCCCAACCATGGCAATAATCGGTGGTACAGCACGGGCCCGGAGATAAGAGACGTCAAAATCTAGTCGAGGCTCAGTTTCATTTTTCGTCGAGCACAGATGCTATATAGACCGCATTCCACGGTTTTTCATCACGGTTCTCTTCCCGGGGGAAACAGTCAGAACGGCACACTGGCAGGTCCACACCTTGCCATGACTACACTTGTTTCAAGCCTGCCGCTTCGCCCCTTCATGTGGTATGCTCCTTGCCATGACTATCACTTTTCGAGACTGCTGTGCCCTTTCGTGTGGTATGCTCCTTGCCATGGCTATATGCCATTTCAAGAGTGCTGTGCCACATCACGCGTGCTCCTTGCAATCGCCGTACACCCAGTGCCTTTCATGCGGTATGCTCCTAGCCATGGTTGATTTTCAAGACAACCGTAAGGTTGCGAGCCAGCGCACAGGGGTGCGATCGAATTTCAAAGCGTAATTTCTCCACAACCAGAAGGGTGCGAGCGCCAACTGATAATTCTCAGCAAAGCTCTCCATGAGATACTTCCAAAACCGGCCTATTGACAGTGGTAACCGCCTGGTAGTGGAGAAATTACGCTTTGAAAATCACTCGCACCCCTGTGCGCTGACTCGCAACCTTACGGTACAGCTGTACCCTTGGATTCATGCTCCTTGCCATGGGTATACCTATTCGAGACTGCTGTGACCTTTCGTGCCATGGCTGCTCGATCAAGACTGCCGCTGAACCCTTTTCATGCATGCTCCTTGCCATGGCTATTGTATAACTCTCAAGACTGCTGTCGCGACCTCTCATGTGCCATACTGTACGGACCTTTTCTAGAGCCGCCTGGCAGTCCTTGGCGAGATCCTCCAGCGCTTCCGAACGCTCGAGCAACGAAGAGATCTCTCCCTCTGCTTTTGCCAGACGCCTCCAAGCATCCCTGACCGTTTCGGGAAAAAGAGGCGTCAAACAGACGAGAAGACCATTGCAAAATTTGAAGTTATCGTATCGAAACACGACGGAGGAGTCATTTCTACCCTTAAGAGATACACATTGAAGAGTCCGGGAAAATCACAGGAGCAACGAACTTATCGTGTTTCTTCTGTTCCAATATGTTGTTCTACTGTGGGCGCCAGTCTATAGATACACTGGTTATGGGCTATTTCGATGTTGATAATCGTGTGTGCTATGTACATAGACTCAACACGTGAGCACTATTTAACAGAATCAGTTCACTTCTTCTTCCCTTAGCAACCCCACGTTGCCCATCTCCATCATCTCCATCATCTCCATCTGCGATTGACAGACGGCATTGCCCCTCCTTCCCAACCAAACCTCACCTTGTTGGACAGTGTCGGGATGTGCCTTATTGGACAGCTTAGACACCTTTCAACACACAAAAACACACAACGTAGATCAGACACCTTCACAACTAACCGTAGATCAGACACCTTTACAACTAACCGTAGATCTACGCACAGATAGCGTCCGTACTTCCAAAAAAAAAAACTTCAGCTCTTCGTCGAAGCTGGGGTTTAGGTCCTCTTTTGGGCTACAAACGTCCGACCTCTACATGTAGGTTTTAGTGTAGGCGGTCTAAAACGGGCTCACAAAAAGGTGGTCAAGCGCGTACGTTGTGACATACTCTTCCAAGCAGCATTGAGCTTGAGTTTCTTAACGCCACGTTCCCGAGTCTGTACCTGTCCGTGATATACTTGAAAGTAGCGCTGAGCAAAAATTCCTTAACGCCACGCTCCCGAGTCTGTACCTGTCAGCAACCGAAGCCTCCCCCAGGCGGTTCAGCTCCCGCTTCAGTAGGCCCTCTTCTTCCTCTTTTCGCCGCAGCAAAGCCTCCGCCCGCTCGAGCTGCAAACCCCTCTCCTCCAGCAGCAAGGCGTGCCGCAGAGCCGTGTTCTGGTGAGAGAGAGACGTTTTCAAAAATGCACTTAAGAAAAGCGTTGTACAGAAAGCGACCGCAGTTCAGTTCTTAGCTCCTAAATAGGGCCATGCTACGAATCGCCGCTATGTCGATTTTTATGTAGGGGTTCTTGACCGATCTAAAAAATGGTGCTCAAGTTCCTATAATTTGAGTGAGTTTTTTCTTTAGGCTAAATCAACTTTTTCACTGACATTTCTGAAGTGCGGGCACTTTCTGTATAGGTCAACGGCAAGTTCTTAAGAACCCCTTCGCGGGAAATTCAGTCGTATAAGGAAACAGAACAGGGAGGGGGTACGCAAACTCTAATTCCCTAACCCTAACCCTAATCCTAACCCTAACCCTAACCCTAACCCTTACCCTAAACCCAACTTCCCCGATTGCACGCTTTATCCAACACGTTTACTGCGAAGGCTACTGAGTTCTGCAGTGCGGGCGCTTTTCTATACAGGCCAAGCGCAGAGGATACAACTGCGCAGACAATACAAGGAAGGTGCGTTTTGAGGGCAAGGTGTGGGTATCTCTCCTCACCAGCGACATCAAGGGCATCGGGATTCTGGCACAGCAGCGATGGCTCCGATGCATGAGGGCGGTGTGACAAGGCCCTGGGCCCTCTTATATCGGATCCCCCTCTTATACCGGAATGAGAAGGTACCCGATTGAAATACCGGGCGAGTCATTGACGACCGACTTCGGCCTCTTATTGTATCGGAGCCACGAGTGTAGCCAAGAAATTCAGGGTCGAAAAAATATTCGACAGCTTTAGGAACTTGACCGCAACAAGGTGTACGCGTGAGATGTAGAAGGCCGGTATCGATGTGCGGGGAAGGCGCGTAGCTATATAGGATTCCTTACAAAAGGCTACTTACACGGTCGTTGCTGTGTCACCCCAGAGGAAAGCAAGAAACGATCCTCCGGATAAAGAAGACGTTCTCAAAAGTGTGGGCACGTTCTTTCGTGCCTGGAAGCGAAGGAATCTCTCTGACGAAAAATGATCTCTCCCTACACAAGGCACACTGCAAAACAGCCTTGACTGCTGCCAGGCCGAGAGCGAAGCGTAGGAAGCAGAACAACGAGGGCCATGACATGCACCAACAACGAACAGCGCTCCAAACTCATGCGTTGTACACTGTACTGTACAGTAGAGGGGCCTGGTTTAGCGAGACCCCTACTTGTAGTGTAGTGGCAGGAGGGATTATGGTCGCTATTTGCAAAAGGCACGCCGCAGTTTCCGGTATTACGGCTATCAGTAGTGGTGCCACGTGATTCTTGTTGTCGCTACAATTCACGGCATGTCGACAAAAACGGGGTCACTACAATACGGGCACCACTGTACGGTGCCCCAAAACTCCGGCAGAGAAAAAAATACGATAAACATATCCCACCCGTGCGTTCCGCAGGCCACATCACCATCATCGCACCTGAACTTCGTTCTCCGCGGCTGACATCCGCCCCGTCCCATTCTCAGCCCCCCTTCCCACCGCGTCCAAAAAGCCTCCGCAGCTAGAAAACCCTCCTCCACCCCCTTCTTCTCTGCTGCTGCCCCGTACACCGGACGACGCAACCTTCGCCTCCAGCTCCCCGAGCCTTGCCGCCAGCCTCCTTGGCGACGAAACCCTCCGATCGGCACTCCTGGTTACACCGCCGCCACCGCCGCCACCATCAGCCCCGAGCCTTGCGGCAAGCGTTCGCGGCGACAAACCCCTACGGTCGGCGATCCTGGTTCCGCCGCCACCGCTACCCCCGAGCCTTGCGGCAAGCCTCCTCGGAGACGAAACCCTGCGGTCGGCGCTCCTGATCTCACCGCCGCCTTTACGGTCAAGGCCGCCGCCGCTACCAGCAGAGCGGTCGCGGGCGACGACGCCCGGGGACCCAACAGCAGCGGCGGCGGACGGCGGCCAAGCGCGGTGACGGTCGCCCTCACGGCTTCCACCACTTCGATACCCAACACGGCCACCACCACCCCCTGCTGTAACACCCCCGGCGTGGATGCCGTGGACACTAGCGGTGGCCCTACCGGCGGGAGCAGAGTGGCGGAGCTCGTCGGAGGAGGAGGAGACGGGGGTTACGCCGGGACCGGCACGCAGAACGGTCTTCTTCTTCTTAATCGTCGAGGAGGAGGAGGAGGAGTGTCGAGACGCCAGGCGTGACACCGACAGCCCGTAACCGTTGCCGTAGCCGTACCCGTCGCCGCCATCTTCCACGTCGGTTCCTCCAGCTTCTACCCCGCAGCTGCCTTCAGCAGCGAATTCTTGCGGGTGTTCCCTGCCCACGAGTCCCGGCGGACTCCTCCTCCTACCTCTCCGTCTCCCATCACGCGGGGCCCCTCCGTCCCCCCCCCGGCCTCGATACCCGAACCCGTCGTCGTCGCCGTTTTCCATGCAAGTGCTGGTCGTGTTGCTTCCGCTTACGGTGGTGGTGTGGGCACCGCTAGTGCCGTCGGTTTGGCTGCTGCTGCTGGTGCTGCTACTTCTGCGGTGGTTGTAGTGCATGCCTCGGCTGCTGTGGTGGGCTGTGGAAGCTGGGGCTGGCGCTGTTCGTCGAGTGCCCCTGCGGTCCGCCCAGCGCTCTGTCTGCTGCCGCTGCTGCCTGCCGCTGGTAGCCATAGGCCGTGCGGCGGTGTTGCCGTAAGGGGAGTGTGACGCCACAGTTTGTGTTATATCTATCTTGGCTGAGTGATGGCGGCTAAGCTGCTATGCCCATCTGCAAGTTGCGGTAGGAAGCAAGAGCAAAGGCAGCAGCAGCAGCAGCAGCAGCAGCAGCAGCAGTAGCAACGAGTCGTTGGGAATACATTCCAATTGACATATTCAATCTCTTGCCAGCACCCGACAAGGCTTCGCTTAGACAGCGTCGGTTATGGACCAAGTACCTGGAACGTAGCGCCTCGTACCCAAGCCCCTTCCGCTACACGTGGGCGCAGCACCAGTGACACCCGCGCAACAACAAACGGTACACCTTCCATGACAGCAGTGTGGATACCCGAAGCTCTCCCAGAAAGTCACGCACTAGAAACCAAGCTTTTGACCTTGAAAAGTGGTGAAGTGGTGATAATTCTAGACAAGGTAGGGATGGTTTCGATCCGGACACAGCAATGCGTGCCACGCAATAAATGCCAAGGCCTGTAATGTACTATTTAGACATAAGCACTACGTTCAAGCTTCCCGTTGTGTGGAACGAGGGCACAATGCAACACTCTACATGCACAAGTGTCATGGATAACTAACTACACATATGCTGGTGACGCTGCTGACAGCAGCTATACACATGCAGTTCGTATCCGTACGGGCGGGCGAAGACTGCAAGGTCTATTCCGGTGCGCATGGCACAAAGCAGAGCGCATTGTACTAGGTTTTGCGTTGCACCACACAGCAGCTTGAGGTAGACGTACACATCACACTCCCAGAGTCCAGATCCTTCCAATCACTTTCAAGAGGCAGCAGCAATAGGCCGACATGTCTGAACCATAGAAACTCGCACCGTCAGCTGTAAGCAACAGCCCTGGAAGCTGGAAAGAGAGCTGTGCTGCTGTAGCTGATTTGAGGATGGATAGTGCATCGTGGGAGTAGAGAATACAACAACAGTGTAGTCACCGCAGGTCAGTCACTGCCGAGCTGCCGAGGGAAAGTCCAAAAAGGTGTCGGTTCGCTGACAGACCCATCTCCTAGTCTCCGCCCTCTCTCTACATGTACCTCTCCCCTCATTACAGCTCCGTACACCAAACTCGCGCCGATTAACTACCAAGCACACACCTCTCGCCAAGTGGCGAAAATACGGCTGTCGTTGGCCCCTCGCACGGCGGTTGTGTGTGCTGTATCCTGTACCCTAAAACCGGGGACAAAACGGGTACATCACTGATCGCTACTGCTGCTCACCGAGATCCAAAGTTGGAGCGATTGGGAGCGAAGGACCGCCACGAGAGGCAGCAGACTAGTCCACGACAGGTCCATTCAGGATTTTCACGCCGGCGGCGGCCCTTCGCCAGCTCCCCGGCGTGTGCGAGCACGGCGGCGGCGGTACATCATCTGCTCTCTGCAGTCTCTGCTCTGTCTGTCCCGCTCTCCGCCGCCTCTTGAGGGGGCCCAACAGATTGTTCTATGATGCAAAACAAGGGGGTATTAGGAGGATGTCACGGAGCCCTTCGTTTTCGGTGCCGAGGTAGCGAGCGATGAGCTCAACAAACTTTCACCTAGACGGAGCACAAACAAGGAGGAGAGAACAGCGACAGTGACAACCCAAAAAGATGAAGCTCTCAACGATGATGGTCGCGCTCGTGGCCGCGGTCGCCTCCCTGGCGGCCGGCGGAAACGCGTTCGTCATGCCCCCCGCGGGCGTCGCGGGGCGTAACGCCGGCCAGCAGGCGCTGGCACCCGCTACCTCGCAACCCGCTCCGTCGCGCTCATCAGGTAAGGAGAGACAAGGGTAGGTAGACGAACAGGAGCACCACGGGTGCAGTCACTGCTGTCGTGGTGGAACGGGGGCGGCGCTCTGCTGCTGCGGCTGCTATTGTTGCGTTTTCTGCTTTTTGAGGGAGTGGTACTGGCTGACGCAATATTTTTGTTGTGATGATGTGAGGCCTTCATGACGCCAAACGCGCACTTACATGCGTGCGCTTAGAAGCGTGCCTTCAGGAGGGCGCGAGAAACGACGGGCAGTAAAACAGCCTGGCGTTGCCTGTACCGAGAGTGTTATCGTTCCGGGCGTTTGACCCTGGGCCGCTCGTATTTCTACGCGTCTGCCTGTTTGCCTCTCCTGCGTGTTGAATATGGCCCCTTCTCTATCTCCAAGTGAGTCACTGATGTCAACATGTCAACATGTCAACCTTCGGTACCTCTCTTCTCTGATGCGGGAGCTAGTCTATGCATGTTGTGCCTCGTGTTCTCTGCTGTGGGCACATACCGAAATGCACCTGCATCCATGTGCCAATTGCGTCAGTTTTTCATTGCTGCCATGTGCGTAGCATCCCTTCGTCGACATGCGAGCAGCGGTTTAGTTCGAGCAACGCGACCCTCAAAACTTGTCGCTGCTGTTCACGACGTGACCGTAACCGTACGTTGTACAATATGGGATGCAGCGGTATCGCTTGGTGTGGAATGTGGAACACATGTTCTGGTATGCGCGGTCTAGCGAGACCCCTGGTTGTGTCAGCAGGGAAGATGCTCGCTGGTTTTAGCAGCTACCAGCCGTGTGGTGCCACGCGATTTTTGTGTCTCCAATCGGGGCGCATGTGTCGCCAATAACCGGGCCCACCACAGCACCTGCAAGCCCTGAATTCGAGGAAATTGATAATTTAGCCGGCAACCGCTGTTGTTTCGGCAGCAGCATGATCCGTACCTGACGACGGCATGCAGGCAGAGTCAGTGCTTGTGTGCGTGTGTGTTTGTTTCTTCAGAGCAGAAGAGAGAGAGAGACAGAGAGAGAGAGGGAGATAGAGAGAAAGAGAGAGAGATTGCTTTCGAAAGGCCGCGTGCTTGCGGCGAATTTGAAAGGGGGCGTACCCGCAGGGGAGATGTCCCTATTATACAATGCTGTCTGGGAAACCGTAGACAAACAGGTACTTTCTGACGCTATGAATTCATTGCTAATCTGTCTCAGACTCTTTTCTATGATCGAGATGGATTCGTTGTGTCATATTAAGAAAAATAAAAAAAGGGGGCGTGTCAAGTCAATGCTGTGATAACATCTGCACACATACGGCAGTCATGGTCCCGGTTTAGCGGTTCCCTGTCTAGCGGGATGCCCTGAATATGTAGCAGTTCCGAAATCTCGTGGCGCCGCTACACCTCGGTAATCAAGCTACTATATATGACTGCCATTCTATTTGGTGGCGATGCCCTCAATAACGTTTATAGAGTATAGCACTCTTTGACACCTCTAAACCGGGACCACAACTACCATAAATGACACAAGATAAAACACCCCCTGGACCGATTGTCAAATCTCGATTTCTCAACAGAAAGAGTCACAGCGCCGAAATCAGTGGCGTTAGAGCTGTCTCGCCGAGACCTTCCCGAAAATGTATTGTTTCATCTATGCATCCTGTTCTTCGTGGCGTAATCGAGCATCGGTGTAAGCGGTGTGCGGTGTTTATGCAAACCTAGTTTGCCTTTTTAGAGTAAGTTAGCCCGTGACCACGGGAATCGCTCCGTCAAGTTTTCGATCAGTACGGACAGATGAAGGCACTGGGCAGAGAGATCTGAAGGTTTTTTCAACGTGAAGACAACCCCGCCACCAACAACAGACCTTATTCATTCCCAGTTCTTCTCACAGAAATCTCGTGCTTTCTCACAGAAATCTTGGTCCCCTCTCACAGAAATCTGGTGCCTTCTCACAGAAATCTGGTGCCTTTTCACAGAAATCTGGTGCCCTCTCACATTTATCTTGGTGCCCTTCGTCGATTTTGACTGACTTCCGTCGAAAGCACCATGTGTTTGGAGGGTCAAACTCGGAAGAGGTTCTGGAACAAGTAAGACACCCGGAAACGTGCTCACGAGCTATGCACACGTGCCATGGTATCTCGTGTCGCCTCAACCTAGCTAAATTAGCTAGCATAAACGGGTGCTGCAACCCAACACATGACACTATTATTGAGTCTCCTACTCTGACTGCAGTATTCAGCAATCAGGGAAAGCGTGGACTTTGTAAGCCATCGCGAAATCACCCAGAGAGAGCTCCGCCGAAAAAGATAACGCTGCGGTTGCCATTCCTATCGAAGTCATCTTGTATCCGGCGGTTAAGTTCTTTAGCCCCGTTGCTGACTAGCCCGCCCCCCCGACCTCCTCCCATCTCCCGCGCGTGCCCTTCGTGCGGCACCTCCTGTTGTGGATTTTTTTCGCTTGGACGCTTTGGAGAACAGGCGCGTCCGCTGTCGGCGCCCTTAGCGTCAAGATCGTGCTGGGCGAGGAGGAGAAGTGAGTTTGGAGTGCTCAGCCAACTCTGCAGCTATTTTAACAACTATTATATTGTGTAATTGCCGTGACGTGTGCGTTTGTCTGTTCTCTCTGGGGAGTGAGACTCTTTCAAGCCACTCAAGTTATGCGAGGTTTCGCCAGTGCTGCTGTTGGTGAACAATTGCCGTGTCTTTGTCACGTGACATGTTCGGCAGACAAAGCTGGGTGGTCTCTTCTCTCTGGGGAACACCGTGTGCAGGTAGTAGTTGGGGTGCTGTGTCATGTGCTGCGTGTTTTGGTTCGAGGTGGTTGCTCCGACGGCCGTGCAATCGATCGCATGTCAAGAAGCCTTGACCGCACATTTTTTCGTTTGTTTATTTTCTGGTCGTACATGACTGACAAACACGCATAAAAGCACGGGGATTGCTGAACGGCCGAGTTGCCAACGTCTCGTATATCCAAGTACCAGAAGCGCTGTGTGAGACCTGGGCCGA